CTGGGTTGGAATTTGTAATCTTCCTCCCTCAGCCTCCCAGAATGTGACACCACATCCAGCTAGTTTAGCAAGTTTTGACCATGAGTTGTAGTTTTTAAGTGACTTTTAAAATAAATCAAGGGCTAGGGATAGGGTTTAGATGTACAGCATTTACTTGGCATGTATAATGCAATGTGTTCAATCCTCAGCACCATAAAAAGGAAAAAAAAAAAAGGTAACAGCTGCATTATAAAACCAAGTGTGTGAAACATGACATGCCCACTTCTGCAGCTAACCCAGTGCCACCAGGGCTCCTGGACAGATGGTGGATGACATCATAGGGAGCTGCCCTGGCTGGCTGAGGGTCCTGGACAGTCACATGATCTCCAGAACCCTGACTCCCTTTTCTGTCAAAGAGGGATAACAAGACCCCACCCCATCTGAGAACCAAGGGGATGGGCCACAGACCACAGAGTGTGTCACCCCATGGGGTCAGTGGGTCTGTATTCTTATATGAGCAGATGGCAGGGCTCAGAAAGCCCAGGGTCTCCTGATCCCAGGATCCCCATCACCCCTCATCTGAGAGCTGCTTCTGGGAAGTGCTCAGATAGCAAGCAGGTGTCTTTTGCCTAAGGTCACACAGCTGAGGAGGACATGTGTGTGAGTGCAGGGAGTTTACACAGGACGCACTGCCTGTAAGGATACCATGGGGCAAAGAGGCCAGAAGGACCGGTGACTAAGAGGCTCCCCTGGGGGCCATGTTGGGACCTACAATTGGACCAGAGAGCCCCTTAATTAGTGGGATTCAGAATAATTAACCACAGATGAGGTTGCAACAGATACCTAGGAGATGGAATAAAGCACCCAGAACCAGGGCCCCCACTTATCTCCTCCTTGATGCTTCTGCATAATGAGGTGACTCTATGAGTCACCCAGGCCCAGCACAGTGCTGCTGTGTCCCAGGAGGATGGACAGGGTCCACAAACATGAGGGCTGGCCCACCTGCACCAGGAGCAATCCTTCACGTCAAACCGCAGAAGGTCGTTGAGCATCGTTTTCCTGAAAGGTAGCGAGAGAGAGGGTGGAGATGATTGGGTGTGCTCTGCAGTGTGTTGCTACTCCAGGACCTTGGAGATGGGCAGTGCATAAACCCCAGGGAGGGGGCAACAGGAAAGACCAGACGTGGCTAGGTCCCTGACCCCTGTGACCTGGTTAAGGCTAGGCAACTTGCCGATGAACAAAGGGACAAGCCTGTTGACCACCAGCAAAGCTCCCCAGTTGATATGGGCACTGGGGCTGCCATATAGGCAATGCCAATCCTCTTGGCTTCAGGTCCAAAGCATAATCACAACCACCAGAAGCCCGTTCAAAGCTGACGTGGAGACAGGAAATGGTTCAAAGGCGCAAGTTATTTCTTACATGTCACCTCAGTCTCCAGGATGCCCGCTTGGTCACCCCACTCTCCAGCACCCCTGCTTTTGCCTCCTCTGAGGCTGCTTCACTACACGGAGCCCCAGCCTGCCTGTCAGGGAAGGCCCTGCTGCTTCTCACTGATCTTTCTGCCATCTCTTTATTGTTTGTAAAACCAGTGTGCCAACTATGTTAAAGAGAGAATAAAATGGGAAACAGCTGCTGGCCACTGTAGGACCCTGCAGGACTGACATGTTACCACCTAGCTTTGTTCATAGGAGAGAAGAGAACAAACCATCCAGAGCCCAGCACCTGTGTCAGGCCAGGCCTGTGCCTGGGTCATCCCCCCATCGCTTGCCCCTCCCTCCATCATTCTCAGTATACTTTAGCAAGGTTCTCCCCACCACTCCATTTTACAGAGGAGGAAATGGCCTAGGAAATAAAAGGCTATGCTTGAGGCCATACAGCCCAGAAGCCAGGAGCTTGAAGATGGTGTTAGGAGTAATTCCTCCCCTTCCTCTTTCATTACTCCTGATTTATCTGTACCAAGAAGTCACCTTTCTACTCAGTCTTCACAAAATTGCAACTAGACTGAGACAAATTTGTATACTGTGTCTCATTCATTAAGCAAAAATATGGGAGGCCACTGTTTGGTGTGAGCTCCTATTCTAGGTCCCAAAAGCTCAGACCAAATCAAAGTGAAGTCTCTCAGGCCAAATGTCTTATACACTGAAACTCTTTTTTTAAAATTTATTTATTTTGTGTGTGTGTGTGTGTGTGTGTGTGTGTGGCCAGCTCAGCCCACCAGGGGGCGGGGCTGGCTGGCATGTGGTGCTGGGGGATTGAACCGCGGTCCCTGTGCTTTGCTAAGCTTGTTCAAAGTAGGTGCTTTAGACCACTGAGCCACCTCACCAGCCCTACACTGAAACTCTTAAGGAAGTAAATCCAAAACATATGTTTTTCCTGCAAAAAAGAGAATCCAGAGCTGGGTGTCATGGCACGTGCCTATAATTCCAGAACTTGGGAGGCTGAGGCAGGAAGACTGCTGCAAGTTTGAGGCCAGTATAGGCCACAAACTGAGTATGAGGCCAGCCTGAACTGCATAGCGAAACCCTGTCTCAGAAAATCCCCAAAACACAAAAATTTAAAAAAGGAGAATCCAGTCTACCCGAGTCTGTGTTAATATAAAAATCCCCTCTGTTTTTACCTTTTGCCAAAAAAAAAAGCCCTCAAGTTACACAATGCTAACCAATCAGGTTTTCTAATAGTTTTGTCTGGTTAATGCTTCATAGCTGTCACATAAACTGCCTGCTAAAAAACACCTCTGAGGACAGAGATTACCCCACTTATCACCTACTGTCCTGTGCTAGATATTAATGCCTTTTCTGATTTGGGAGATTCCTATGATGGCTCCAGTAAACATTTGTATATAGACACCTCTTCCTTCGTCCCTCAACATTTTTTGAGTTGTCTGGGTATTGGATGTAGGGGCAAAAGCAACATACACCTTGCCTTGGCAGAGGAGACAGTGTAACCAAATCTGTGAGCTTCAGAGACAAGTGCAAGTATTGAGAGGTAAGGGGGGTAGGTGGGGGAAGGCCTTATAATCTATCATGTAAGAGGTAGGAAATGTGGGAAGAAGAAAACAGCCAGGGCAAAGAGCTCTTTGCAAGAGAGCATTTGGAATGATGTAAATGCAGCAAGACAGCCAGCGTGGCCCAGCACAGTGAGGAGCCAGGAGGAACAGAGAAACAGAGCAGATACAAGAATATACTTGGAGGGGGCCTGGGAGATGGCTCAGTAGAATAAGCGATTCCCTGGCAAGTGCAAGGGCCCGAGTTCAATCCCTGGTTCCGCAAAAAAAAAAAAAAAAAAAAAAAAAGAATATACTTGGACTATTGTGAGGATGTGAGCTTTTTACTCAATGAGGTAGGGAAATATCAGAGAGCTTTGAGCTGAGGAGAAACATGCTCTGACTTGCACTTGTAAATGAATCCCTCTGGCTACTTCTGGGGAAAAAGACTGTGGAGGAGCTGGCTTGGATACCAGGGGATCATGGCCCTTTGGCCTAGTGTGCAGGTTCTGGTAGCATCCTAAATACTCCACCCCCTCAAGCTGACTCCCCTAGAGAGTCCTGCAGGACTGATGTGGCAGTACTTTTCCTGAATTTTAAAGCAGATTCTGGGGCTTGGGCTGAGAGGCAGAGCTAAGCCTTGTAGGGAGGTTTAGTCATGTGTAAACACTACCTTCAGCACAGGGAAATCAACCACAACTTACTTGGTGATAGTTCTTGTGAATGGAGATACGCCCATCCACGGAATACAGGGTCATTGCCACGAAGGTTATTTGCTAGGAGTTTGTAGCAATGCAGGAAAGCCCTCAGAAAAAGTGAGATGCACACAAAAAATGAATAAAATTGTCCTACCTTTGAGTTGCAAAGGAAGCACGTGGGCAAAGCCCAGAGGGTAGAGTAAGGAAAGAAAAGGCCCTAGCGACGCAGGCAGCAAGAGTGGTTATGCTTCTTTCAAGGTTGTATCCATTCACTCAAAACAACAGAAGTATTTCCATATGCTGACTATATGCTACCCAGTGGGTGCTGCACTGAGCACCTTGAGGGCAGGATCTCATTTAATCTCTCCTATGATGACCTGGGAGGCAAAGGTAAGGAGCCTCATAGATGGGGCAAATGAAGTTTAGATTACTTAGTTAACATCTGGAAAGACAGGAGCCTCACAGACCCAGTCTAATACCACAATCCTTTTCCCTACCTAGTCCAAAAACCATGATTCACTCACCCATTGTCTCCACCAAAAACATAGATGGCATCTTTATAGGCCACCACTGTGTGCTTGCTGCGCCTAGAGAGAAAGAAGGGGTGGGAGGTGGTGAAGTCAGACCCTGACTAGATGGCACCCAAACACTAGGACTACACATGGGGGCTGCCACAGAAGTTCATAACATCTGTCAATTGCCAAGGGCTGCCGACCCCTAAATTCCACTACACTCCCAGCATATGGGTATATCTCACACTACCCCAGGAAGTTCTTGGGACCCCAGGTGACGACTCAGAATCATAACAGCTCTAATGCTCTGCCCAGGGTCACCTGGCTCTAGGTCTCGAATGTACTGCTTCCTCTGTCCTGGGCACTATCAGACCATTAGCACGTCTCACACCAGGCCACCATGCCCGGGCCTAGACATTAGAATCCTCGCTTGGGACCGCCTCAGTTCACACCCCGCCCTTCGCGTGCCCTCAGGATCCCCCGACCCCTGTCGTACCGGGCACCCACGAACTCGTCGCAGGGTGGGAGGCGCCGCCAGCGGTGCACTGTTTCGAAGGGTCCGAAGTTGAGTGTCAGGTACTCGACACTGTCTGAGCAGCTATGGTCAAAATCCACGCTCGGAGCTACCTTGGAGCGCGCCCCACCTGCCAGGGCTCCGGCCCCAATCGGGCCCCCTGAGCCACCCGGCCCAGCCATCCCGGGTCCACGCCCGATTGGCCGCCAGGTCCGCAGGACTTGCGGTCACCGCCCGCGGCCGCCTCAAGGGACCACATTTCCCAGCAAGCCGTGCGCCAATGTGTCAGAACTTCCGGCCAGCGCCCCACGTTCAGCGGCCTGCACATCCCGACAAGCCTAGCGTCCCTGGCGACACAGCAGTCAAACACTGCGCCTAGTGGACAGCTTTGCGATGATTGTGTAACATTCCGGAAAGTACAGGGGCCGGGCTGTCCCTGGCAGTAAAGACATCTGTACCCCAATCCCGCTGGGACTGCACTTCCCCGGTTCACGCCGTCAGCCAACCCTCAGCGACCACTGTCAGGAGTTCCCAGCATGCCTTGTAGTCGCATGTGAGTCCCAGCTTCATTGTCCTCCTCTCCTGAGATCCCCAGACGGAGGGTTCCGGGATGGCAAGCGGTCCAACTATCCCAGTTTTGTTTCTTACCCCAGCCCTGGCCTTCCCGGGTTTCCCTTCTCCCCCTAGTGTTCTGCTGGTCGGTAGGCATGAGCTTCTGTTCTCATTCCTTATAGCAGAGCCTTTGCTTCTTAGCCTCCCAAATGAGGATTCAGAAAACTCAACTGTTATGAGACACAGCTCTGTTTCAGGATGTAGCATTTACAGCACTAAGTAGATGCCTGCAGAGTTTTAATCATTAATTGAGTCTGACCTCTGAAGAAGCATTTCCTGTCTCGAGCCCTTTGCACGTGTAGTCCTTTTTATCTGGCGTGCTTTTCCTTCAAAATCAAGATCCAAAGATTCTGGAGAAGCCTTCCCTGGCCTCGTGGGGAGAAGAGAATCAGTTACCACCTCCTTTGGGTACTCACAGGCAAAATTTAATTGGTTGTGCCTGTTTTTCCTGTGGTCTACGTTTTCCCTCATGTCGGTGGCCCAATCACACTAGGAGTCACACTGATGTGCAAATGTGTGCATTTTAATTTCAAAACAATGTCTAATATGTTGCAGGGTTGTCCAGGGGTCCAGTCCCAAAAGAGGAAAAAAGATACCGGGCCTGTCCCATTTCCAGTGCCAGCTGTCAGTGGCAACTGAGGCCTTGTGGGGTGAGTATCTTCTGGAGGTAGCAGAGGCCTTTCCAGAGGGGAGCCAGGCAGCTAAGGGCAAGCATTGGGAGGACTCCATTTCTGCCTTGGGGAATCCTCGGATGTTGGAGATTGGCACCTGCCACCAGGGCTTGGCCTCTGTCCCTGGTGTCCCAATGTGCATGCCCAAGGGTACTGCATAGGAGCTCAGGATCCTTTCCCAGTGAGCCAAGACATGTCGCCAGTCCTGTAGGAATGAGGGAAGGAGGGATCAGAAGAGAAGAGAGCAGGTTCCCCACTCTGGGCACCATGAACAGCTGACTCTTGAAGACAGCTGAGTGATTGATTGTTCTGTGTCAGATCCTGGCGCCCAGCAGAGATATTTATTGGTGGGGGGAGTAGATCATTTATTAGAGGCTTTGGGCTGAGATGGGAAAGGCTCAGAATGGTCAACAGGAAGAATACAGAATACACGTACTTGCTGTGTAGCATAAACAGCCTTTCCGAAGGCAAGAAGAAAAGAACAGAAGGCCAGGGAAAGAGAATGTCATTCATCATGCCTATTCTTGGTCCTCTGTTGTTTTCAACTGAAAGCCTACCCCCTGTCCTGTGGCTGCCAGCCCCCCAGTGGCTTTTGGGCTTTCTCTAATCCCCGAGAGTTCTCTGTAAACAGTCTGTCATTGGCACCATGCTGGGAAAAGGGTAGTGGTCATTATCCTCCAAGACCCAGGCAACCACCCCAACATCTCTGTGTAGGGTATACTCAGGCACACCAGCAGGCATGTTTCCCCATCTAGTTTCTGCCAGGATTAGCACAACTTCCACAAGGTGTTCAGGCCTAGTGATCACCCAAGCAGTGGGCCTTGACTCCTTCCCAACAGCACTGGCTCTGCCTTGGGGCACACACCCCTTTCCCTTCTGTTGTGGTAATCCCATATCACAAACCTCCCAGACTACAGTTCATGCTCCATGCTACTCTGTAACTCTGGAAACTTCAGACTGATGGGAACCAAGAAGGAGGGGAAGAGCAGACCCTGGAAGACTGTGGGGTGGCTGGCTTCATGGCAGCTTCAGCCAGTTCTTCAGGGGACTTCCTCCCCCACCCAAAACTTCCCACATCCACACTCACTCCACCTCCCGCTTCCGGATGGCACGGCCAGAGGCCAACACCTCAGCCACCTTGGATACGATGGGATCATAGTTCATGCTAGCCACAGCAATGACCTCGTCGCCTCTGCAGAAACAGGGTAGCTGAGACTAAAGACTGCCCACTGACATTGTTTTCTTTTCTTTTTTTGTATTTAAGGGAAGGGTCTACAGGATGTTCAGGGTCTCACTACTAGAACAGACTCGTAGTGATCCGCCTGTTTACAGCTTCCCAAGAGCTGGGATTACAGTTGCACCACCATGCCCAGTCTTATTGCCATCTCAGTGCACCCTTGGGGCAGGGCCGGCATGGCAGGCCTGGGGATTGAACCCTGGGCCCCTGGGCCTGCTTGCAGGTGCTTTAATCTGCTGAGCTATTTGGCCAGCCCTGACATTGTTTCTTGAAGACCCTGATACACTCCTGTCTACCTCAGGCTCAGGGAAATATTTTGCTCTGGGTAGAAATACACTAAGCACTCAGCCCTCTCTTTGTCCCAGCACAGGCTTCAGCTGGGTAGCTCCAGCTCTCAGCAGAGTTCAGGCTGGGCCTGTTCTGGCATCACCAGCGTCTACTGATACGACTTTCCAAGAGCTGTTCAGAAGATACACTGACTCCCTTGGACCCAGTGCTTGGCAGGTATCACTGCCACCTCCTCACCTTCCCTTCTGCCCAGCTACCTCCCTTTGCACTTGGCCTGCCTTTTGGTAAGGCCCTCTCCTCAGAAAGAGAGCTTTTCTGGAATGACTCTTCCTTCACCACTGAGATCTGATTGTCCCTCCACCCCAAACCCCACCATTCTCACTTGGTATAAAAAGCCACAAACTTCAGTTCTTCCAGGTCCCCCTGGATAATGACATCATCAAAGCCTTCTCCATAACCTGTGGGCAGGGCAGGCAGGTGGTGCCCAAATAAGACACAGAAGAGCTAGAGACTTCACAGGCTCCCCACCCTGTGCCCTCTTAACTTCTCTCTGGACAGGCTACCTGGTACCTTATTTCTTTTAAGTAATCCCTAGCCAAATGAATTCTTAGTTGCTTGTTCCTAGTGCAGTCTTGGCCCCACCTCTAAGGTCCTTCACCCCCCTCAGCCATCAAGCCCCACCCCGAGTGCTCAAGAACCCGCCCCCCTAGGCTAGTAGGTTACCCGCATAGCGCAGGCTCTTGCCAAACATGGCAGTCCACAGGTAGGGCACTGTGCTGATCTCTGCCTCCTGTGCCAGCATGTTCTGGGCCGCAACACGCCCTATGGAACACAGACAGTGAGAACTCTGGCCCCCACCATTTCCACATTGCCTACCCCACTGTTCTAGGGACCTCTGCCAGGTGTAGCTAATTCCTGGATTCCCAGGAGATTCAGAGGTGCACTGTGGCTCAGCCCACAGCCCATCTGCAGGAGTGCTCCTTTGGAAAATTTCAGTGCTAGTTGGGGTTCAGCAGTTCTCTACTTCACTATTTCAGCTTTGCACACAGAGAACTAATCTGACATGAGATTTGAAAAGAGAGGAGAATTCAGCCCAAGGGGCAAGGAAGCAGAAATGACAACCACATGCTGGCTTCCAGGAGAATATCATGGGTGGGTTCTCAGTGCCTATAAGGCTTCACTAGACCCCCATACTTAGGTATACGTGAGAATCCCTTGGACTATCAGAGTTAAATCCTAAATCATATTTGCAGCTCACTGAGAAGTAACCTTTGGTTCTTTACATTCTAGGAGTAACTTTACACTTGGGCAGAAATGGACTTAAACCAAAACTGGTACCAGGAGTGGGATTTCAGAGTGGATCTTCAGATAGGCAACAAGGCAGAAGAAAAGAAAGGAGGTAGTGTATGTGAGCATGTGTATAGGTGTGTGTGTGTACCAGGTGGAGAGTCCTGTGGTTGTTTTTATGAGGTTCTGAGGTGGCTAACTTTACTGTTATCTGCTGCTTAGGAGTCCGGGTTCATACCAGGTGCAGTGGCTAAGACTTGGGAAGTTTGGTGACCACCAAATACAGGGAGTAGACAGCTGTTCCACAGAAAGCACAATGTTCCCACAAATCCCAGCCTCAATAGTTGCCTCCAGAAGACTATATCAGGCAAGTGAGGTTCACAGAGACAATCAAGGGGCTCAAGGGAGACAGAAGCACTGTGTGGGAAGCTGACCTACTAAATCCTTCTCCCTCTCCAGGGTAACTGTACAAGTTGATTAGGAATTCTGAGGAATCTGTCCTGTGGCTAAAAGAAAAGGTGAGACTTATGGAAAGACTAACTGGGATCGGACAGTTGTGCCTGGCTAAGCAGAATCTGCAGGGGGTACTAGAGAAAGGTCTCTATCTCCAGGGATGACTCAGAAGATTCACTCTGTGCACTGGCACCTGGACGAGGCTGGCCATATTGGCCACTACAGAGCCTTGAACACCTAACATAGTATTCAGGACCTTACACTAGCAACTGAGACATGACCAGGGAAGGCTGAGTCTCTGGGGCTGAACCGACCTTAGGGCTGACATACCCTGGACATGAGCCATCTGCCAGTGTGGGATGTTCACTTTCCGATTGTTCCTCCAGGCAAGGGGAAAGGTGACAGCATCACCAGCTGCAAACACACCTGGGACATTGGTCTGCATCATCTGTGGAGAAAATGCCAAGGCTCCATGAGCAGGACAGGTAGCTGACCTGGACCTTGAGTCATCTGCAGCCCAGCACCCTTCCTGCCCCCTGTAGTCCCACCTTGTTGACTGGGATGAAGCCACGAGAATCCAGACCAATGCCACTCTGCTTTAGGAAGCCTGTGGCAGGCACGGCACCTAACAGAACAAAAGTCACCACGTCCACACCATGGATCCTGCTTCTGCCTCAGTGCTTTTGGTGCCCTACATTCTTCACCTGCTGGACCTGATCTACACTGTCCTGGCCTCCCACACTGGTGCCTTCACTCATCCTGTTGCTTCTCCCTGCACCTCCACCAACTCCCATGCTTCCCCCTAGGCCTCCCCCAGGTATCCCCTCCTCCAAGAAGTACTTCATGAACCCCCCTGGTGGGAGCCATCATACCATGCCTCTCAAAACCCTGTACAGCCACTTCCTGGCTTTGACTCAGCACCCCAAACTGCCACTTCACCTGGGACCAATTAGAGGCTGGTCTGTATCCTTCAGGCCACAGAGGGCAGGGCAGTAGTGGGCTAAGCTGGGTATGCATTTCCCAATGATCCTGTAAAGTAGGTGTCGTTTGCATCCCCATTTTTTAGGTGTGGAAACTGAGACTCTGGGAGGGGAAGGGACTAATCCAAGTTCACTTGTGAGCATGTGCAGATGCCTCTGCTCATTCACACACCCACTCACCAATGCCCACCACGCAGACATCAGCCCGCACAACTTTGCTGCTCTTCAGCACAACTTCCTTCAGCTGTGGGGAATGGGTGGGTTGGGTGATCAGAGGAACCCCAACGGGCCCGGCACAGGGGACAGAAAGCGGCAGGGAGAGGAAGGAGAGGGGCCCACCTTTCCCTCCTGGGCCCGAAGCTCTGACACCTCTGTCTGCATGTAGAACTTCACCCGGTTGTTCTCAAACATCTGTTCAGGCAGGTTGGTGAATGGATGGTAGGTAAAGGCCCAGCCAGGTGCTAGGCTGGATGCCCCAGATTCCGAGGAGTGCTAGGGGCTGGGGCAGGCTCACCTTCATGAGGGCACGACCCACACGCTCCCCCAGGAACCTCCTGAATGGTGTCTCTTCCAGCTCCACTACGGACACTGAGTGGGCCTTCTCAGTCAGATAGGCAGCCACCTCCATCCCTGAGGTCATGGGCAAGGGTGGCAGGGCTGGCAGCCTGCACCTTTCAGGACTGGCATACCCTAGGACTGGCTACAGCAGCCTGATCACCATCCCCACTGCCCCTCTTGCTCACCCAGGAAGCCGGCTCCCACAACAACTGCGTTTCGGCCCCGGGCCAGCCTCACCACACGGTTGGCATCCTCAGGAGTCCGGATGGTGAACACATTCTCCACTTCTTTTCCTTTGCAGCTCAGGTTTTTAGGGCTGAGACAGGGTACATCAGTGAGGCCTTCTCATCCTAATGGCACTCTACCCAGTGTCCAGTGAGGGCAGGAGACACCCACCCACCTGCTCCCAGGGGCCAGCAGTAGCTTGCTGTACTCTAGCTTGAAGCCATCCTTGAACACGACCTTCTTGTTTCTCACATCCACTGTGACCACCTGCAATCCCCAAGGGACAATGTGTGGGCCTGGGCATGCATCTGGCCTTCACACTCACTTCCAGATCCTATAGTAGGCCCGGAGCCCAACCAGGTTTTTGAGCAGTTCCCATAGGAACTGCATTCTTTAATAAGCTACAGACATCACCTGCTTCTTAAAGCCCTCTGTGCCCAAATACCACCAGGCTCTCCTGTCCCAGCACTAATCAGATCACCTATCTCCCTGCACTCTGGGGCCCTGAGTATGTCTACAGCCCAGTGCTCCCTCCCAGGCACAGGCATTGTGGGTGGAAAGGGCAGAGCACCTCCCCCACCACCCCTAGGAAGCCAAGTGGCTTTGCCCTTCATAATGTCCACTAACCCTTTCCCTGGCCTGCTTCCCACCCATAATCTCGTACCTGGGCCTCGGTGAGCACCTCGATGCCATAGGCCCGGAAGAACTCCTTGGGCCTCAGGGCCAGCTGTTCAGGCTGCGCATCCAGAGACTGCAAGACACACCCAACTTGATATAGGGCTATTTGGCCACTTCCATTTTACAGAAGAGGACACAGGACCAAGGGAGGGTGAGGCCAGCTCTAGGTCACTAGGGGCTATAGGACAGAGATCAACCAGTCTAGATTTTTGGGGGGCACTACAGATGGTCCTGGTATACGTGGAAAGGGGAGCTGGTGAGACATTCCCTCTAAGAAGTGATAACAAGCTTCCAAGTGCCCTGACAGAGACCAGAGGGATCAGGATCCAGAGTTGCCCTGCACCAACTTTCCCCTGCCTGTTTCCCCCTTGCCCAACCCCTACCTTGCTAAGCTTTGGCCGGTCATAGGGGAGATGCCTGTCCAGTGTGCACAGGACGATCCGGTCTGAGAAACCTTCCTGCCGCAGTGTCTCCGCACACACCAGGCCAGCAGCACCTGAAGGGAGGTGCCATAGGCCAGGGCCCCCCGACTTCTGTCCTACCCCCTAAACCACACAGTAACCCTCAGGATCCTGGTACCTACCTGCCCCCACAATGAGCACGTTGGTACTGCCACTGTGTCCAGCACTTGGAGAGATACACTTGGCCATCACTTTAGTCCTTCGCTGCAGCTGCAGGGCCTGGGTGGAGGGAGGGTCCTGCTGCTTCAGCTAGCCTCACATCTGCCATGCAGCCCTTTACTCTGCTTCCTAGCCACACATGCCAGGCTTCCTTCCATTATGCCACTATGCCCTCCCACCTGTGCCTAAGCCCTGAGCCACTCCTTCACCTGCTTGCTGGCGCGGACATACACTTTCTCCTTTTCAATCTTCACCTGCAAGGCAAGTGCTGTTCAAGACCAGTTTCAGGATCTTCCAGCCCCTGACTATACCACTAGGCTCAAGCTACACTGTACTCTCAGCCCCACCTGGAACTTGTGCAGGCTGTCCAGGCCTGGGAAGTCCTCCAGGTCCCCAGTACTGATGTTGAAGCAGGCACCATGCCAGGGGCAGCGTACACGGCCTCGGGACAGCACGCCTGAAAGAGGGTGGTGCTAGGATGAACCACCAGCAAGGGGTCCTCCCAAAGGACTCATGTTCCAGCACCTCCTGGTCCTCTCCTCAGCCCAGGAGACCCACTGATACATGAGGACTCTGGCTAAGGGATGAGTGAAATTGACTTGGGAGACAGATGGCACAGGGCCAAGCTCTCTCCTGGAGGTCCTGCCACACCTGCCCACCCACTCCATGTGCACTCTAATGTCTCACCTTTTACCAGAGGTGCGCCATAGTGAGGGCACTTGTGGCCCAGGGCGTGGAATTCCCCATTGTCCTTCACCAGCAACACCTTCCCCCAGCCCAGCTCCACTTCCCGCATCCTGGGGAGGGGCTGCACTCAGAGGTCAAGCCAGACAAGTCACATCAGCCTGGGTCACCTCTTCCCAGAGTCCAGCCTTCTGAAGAGTAGGCCCAGACCCACAGAAGCCACAAAGACTGTGACCCTTTGGCCACACCTAGCCCTCCCCCGCCCTCCCCCGGATCACCTGCTCCTCCATAGCCTCTGCTATGCCGCCCACCCACCCTCTGATCCTCCCTCCCAGCCCAGAACCCACTGGCCATTCTCTAGGTCCTTGATATGGCAGACGGCAGCCTCCACGCAGTCCTGAGGGCCAGGATAAGAGTGAGGGGCTGGCAGGCGCTCCTCGGTGTGGAAGTGGCGGGCTGTGCCATTGCCCTGGTAGGCCCGGGGGCTGCCCTTTCCGCTGGCAGACAGTTCATCCTTGCCCCGCTCCTTCTCGGGCAGCACCACCTCAATCTTGAACTCCACTGTGGGCAAGGCCATGCCATGAGCCCCTAGCTTAGCCCATTCCCTCCCATCCCACAAGCTGGGGGCAGAGGCCATCCCCTCTGAGTGCTGAGATGCTCAGCCCTGCCCTACCCTGCCCTGTCATTTCCCCAGAGTCCTGTACACCCTGTACAAAGAGGTAGAAGCAGCTGCACAATTGTGCATGCTTGTAAGCCCAGCCCTAAGGGAGGCTGAGGCAGAATGACCAGAGAGTCTGAGTCCAGCCTGGGCAACTTAGCCAGAGTCCATCTGAAAATAAGAAATAAAAAGCACTGGATGTATAGCTCAGTGCAAAGGGCCTGAGTTAATTCCTGATATCAAAAACAAGACAAAACAAAACAACAACAAAAATCATGAAAAACATATGCAGAGATGTTATATAGCTCAATGGTAGAACACTTTTATGGCATGTACAAGGCTCGGAATTTGATCTTCAGCACAAAAGGGAGGGGCACAAGTCACTTCTTAAAATAGCTATTCTCTGTATCGTTCCAATTTTAGTATATGTATATTTACATATAAATACATAGTATATATGTATTTTAGTATATTTCAGTATACGCCAAAGCGAGCACAAAATAGCCATTCTCAAAAGGCATGGTAAGGCACACCTGTGAGCCTAGCACCTGGGAGACTGAGACAGGAGGATTTCTGTGAGTTTTAGGCTAACCTGGACTACATAGTGAGGCCTTGCCTCAAAGTACCCCCTTTCCTCCAAAATAGCTATTCTCACCACTTTGAGATTCATTTATTGTTTGCTGAACCCTGGTGTTTTGGTGTCTTCATGTGCAGGTGTCTGAAGGCCACTGGAGGAGCATGTGGATAGCAAGAAGGGTGTAGGGCTCCCATAGCCCTTTTCTTTTATTGTATTTTCCCTTCTTTTTTCTTTCCTCTTTCTTCTTCCCTCCCTCCCTCTCTTTTTTTCTTTCTTTCTAGTGCCAGAGATTGAGCTAGAGCTTTTACATGTCCAGCACACACACCCACATATACCTTTTTTTGGGGGGGTGCTAGGGATTGAACTCAGCACCTTGTGCTTGCCAGGCAGGCATGTAAGCCACTGAACTATCACCCAGTACTGCCCCCCTTCTTGAAGACAAGATCTCAATAAATTGCCCACACTGGGCTTGAACTTGCAATCCTCTAGAGCCCTAGAATTACAGGCTTGCACCACTTTGCCTGGCTTGTCATTTTCTTTCTGTACTTCTCCACATTTTCCAAATTCCCTACAATGTGCCTGGGGTATTTTTCTAATTAGAAAGGAACAATAAACAGAATTTTTAGCAGTGATAATCCGGCCTCCTGGGTGCTGCAGCAGAGAGGAGACTGAGGAGGTGGTGGCTAAGCTCCTGGCACAGCATGGGCCCATGTGGGAGCAGCTCTGCCTCTTGATTCCCAAGGGACAGGAGCCTCCAGACCTGCCCTGGATTCACCTCTCAGCCCCTCCACCTCAGACCAGCTGCTCCAGAAACAAAGAGCTGAACAACCTGCTGGTTCAGGCCTCCTGGCCTTGGCCTGTGCCCATGCTTAGCCTGGGCTGCCATCCTTCTAGCCCTTGAGCTTCTGCTAACTGCTCTCCATCCTCACATACACTACTCCTGTATCTCCTCTCCTGGCTGCAGGGCCCTTACAGGTCCCCCCTTTCATCTCCCCTAGCCCAGCCAGACCCCACCCTACCTGGGTGTCCCAGCCTCTAGCTGAGGGAGGTTGTCCTGTCTGGTAGGGGTTTTCCCTCCACTTTCCATACTTTATGTAATAGCGTTAGGTTGTTTTTGGAAGAATTAAAAAGGAAAATACTTTAGATTCAGCTGACATCAGCAGTGAGCACTGTGGGGGCCCAGAGAACAGCCTGGCGGGGTACCAGATGACGGCCGAGTGGGCTGTTCTCATCCACCACCTCCTTCCAGAAGGCTCCAAGGCACACTGACTGATGCAGTCCAACAGAAAGCCACCAATTCAGGAGCAGCAGCAGAAAGGTGGGGGGAGAAGAGGGTCTTTGCTTGTCCACAAAACAGATCAACTCAGCTGCCCCACCTGAGCCCCTATGGGCCTCAAGATGCCTTAGTCATCAAGTGGAGAGGCCCGGCTAGGGGTGCAGCTCAGTGAGAAGGGACATGCATAGCATGCCCAAGACCTTGCGTTCATTCCCAGTATCATCCCCCACTCCCAGAAAAAAAGGAGCAGGGTCTACCTATTTGGTGATGATGAATATTAAAGGAGATATCTAACCCAGAGTAGAAGTTCAATAGATGAAATTGGGTTGTAGTGTTATTTGGGGTCATTTGTTAGTTTTGGATGCTGGGAATTGAAGCCAAGGCCTCTTTGCATGCTAACCACTACCATTACGCTACACCCACAACCTGGTAGAAGTGTTTTATCAATTAGCTGTGAGCCTCCTAGCAGCCATGGCAGAGAGGGAAAGCCATTAAGTAGCACACACACCCTGCTGGTGGTACTGGGCCTTTGCACTGAGCTAATCTTTATTCAGCCCTTTTTTATTTTATATTTTAAGACAGGATCTCACTAAGACACTTAAGTTACTCAGCCTTGGCTCAAAGTTGCAATTTTCCTGCCTCAGTTTCCCAGAGTGCTGGTATCAGGGATAATCACCCCATTGTATACATGCAAACATGGAGGGTTAGAGAGGTGTGGTCCCTCATCTTAGACTACACAGCTAGGAAGGGGTGCAGCTAGATTCAGGCTCAAGAACACAGGTTATTGGGCAGGAGCTA